ACATACATAAACACACACATACACATATACATACATACACACATACACATTCACATACACATACACATATACATACATAAACACATACACATTCACATACACATATACACATACACATACACATTCACATACACATATACACATGCACATATTCTGCGACGGATTTTGCGACTATTTGCGACGGAATAAAAATTTTCGCAAATTTCGTCGCAAATTCCGTCGCTATATGAAGATTTTCTTGTAGTGAATGTGGCATTGACAAAGGAAGTGGAAGAACTTCGACGTACTCAAGCAGACATGCAAGCCAAGATGGCTCGATTTGAGGAGATGCTTCAGAGGTTCATGCCCCAGGACGGTAATTCTGCAGCTGCATTGGCTCAATGTTCGGGTCAGCGAGGATCCGAGGAGATTATTCAGCCATCTCCTCAAGGAAACAAGCCTAACCATCACGCTCTTACGACTAATTATTCGGATCCCGATCAAGATCCAAATAATGATTTTGCGAACATTTTGTTTTAGTTACATTATGTTATGTATTTAAAACCTATTTTTAGATTCAGTTTGTTAAATTTTAAAACTTTAAGTTTAATATTAACATTATGTTTAATTAATTAGTTTAATTTTAATTTTAATTTTTATATTATTTTATTTTTATTTTATTTTTATTTTTGTATTTATTTTTGTATTTATTTTTTTATTTTTTTATGATGATGCGACGGCTATATACATCGCAATTTCCGTCGCAGAAAATCACATCGTCGTCGCGATAATTGCGACGATGATGTACTTTTTACTGTTGCAAACCAACAGTAAACAACGTCTATCTTGCGACGCGAGGAGTAGTCGCCAGTTGCGATGACTGTGCAACAGCTATATGCGTCGCAACCAATTGCGATGATTGTGCAACAGTGAGTGGCATCACAACAATTGTGACGGATAGCTACGGCAGCGAGGAGTCGCAGTGTGCAACGAAAATGTGATGTAACATACTTTGCGACAGCTATATAGCGACGGTTTTCGTTGCGTCGCAATCCGCCGCAAAGTGATTTTCGTGACGGTTTTTAATGAATATTGCGACAGTGTTTTTGGTCGCAATGGCCGGCGTTTTTTTGGTAGTGATCTCCTTTGTTTTGCTCCATCTCTCTCCTTCGTTTTACTCCCTCTCTCTCTCCTCTGCTTTGCTCACTCTCTCTCCTCCGATTTTCTGGATTTCTCCTTCTATTTGCTCACTCTCTCCTCCAAGATCGTGTTTTATCTCTCCTTCAATTTTTTTTCTCTCTTATGTTTGCTCTCTCTCTCCTGTTTTTCTTTCTTTCCTCCGTTTTGCTCTCTCTTCTGTTTTGCTCTCTTTTTCTCATTCGTTTTGCTCTCTCTCTCCTCCTTTATGCTCTCTCTCCTCCGTTTTGTTTTTTTTTCCTCCGATTTGCTTCATTTCTCCTCCGATTTGCTTATTTTCTCTTCGACAGTGTGCGAAACAGTTTTAAAAATTATAGAAAATAGTGGGAATTAACATAGAATCGCGTTCTTTGTGACTTAAAAATCAAGTATGGTGTTCTTTGTGACCTGTGACCCATGTTACTTGTGATCCGAGTCTAATGTGTATATCTTGTTGTACAGGTTTTCCAAAGTTGCGAAGTATATTGATAAAGAGTTACATGAGTGGTACAAGGGTCATACCTTGGGTGAAAGACAAAAAGGATCTATGGTTCATTCTCAATGGTGTGTCTGTGAGAAATTCGATCATTGAGCATACCTTCATATGGAAAAGATAAGAAGGATCGTGTTTCTTTGTTTATGAAGACAGAAATATTATTTATCCTTTATATGTATGAAATGAATATTTCTGAATGTATTAAATGGTTATTTCTAAATATAATAATTTTTTTAATTAATTTTATTATTTTTTATTTTGGAGAAAAAATTTTCTTCATTTATTTTATTTATAATTTATAATTTTGGGTCATATGGGTCACAATGTGGATTATTTTTTATTTTTATTTTTCATGGAAATGAAACAAATATGTTTAAATTATTTTTATATTTCGGCGGAAATCCGAAATTGGGGGTCAATTGACTGCGGAAAAGTGACAAAATTAGGTCTGACAAGTTATCCTCAAGGTGGGACTGCATGTTCCTCAATTCTGTGATTTTTTTTACTGGTGGATCTCGCATATTCACAATAAACAACTCGGGTCACATGGATCGCATGGGTCATATGAGTCACAATGTTCGAATTTATTGAATTAGTGATTATGAATGGATATACAATGATTAATCTTTGATTTTAACATCAATAACAACTTTAAAATCATCGGTGTTTCAATTTTCAAATCCAAATAACTAGCAGGAATATACTCTATAAGTGATACTAATGTTTTAAGAACACTTTGGAAAAATTTGCACTAATGTTCAAACAACTCATAACTAAATTAACGAATTTAACTTGTAAACACCATATTGTCATTATAAAACTCCATATAAACTATCTTGAAGCATTAAAACTGAGATTCGACCATGTTTTTTTAGTGTGATTGAGTCACGGGTCACATAGGTCACATAATGCAAAAATATCTTCGGGTCACATGGGTCACATGAGAATCACATGGGTCACACAGTGCAAAACTGTTTATGTCTCTTCAAGGTTTAAACATGGTACTAGTGCAAAGAAATCAACCCTATTAAACATTGTGCTAATGCAAAGAGATCGTACTTATGGAAAATGTATTTCATATTTGATAGAAGTTATTTTACAAACATACTTGAGAACTAAATTTAATCATACAAACAAGTTATTTAACAAATAACAATATTTTTATTTTTCCTTCTTTAATCACTTTGTTCGCGGTTTGTCTGAGCTTGGAAACCGGTTATGTTTGGGTCTACCAGTTTTCTGTTTATCTTCCACAATCAGAGGTAATATTATAAGGTTTGCATCACGTGGATCGTCAATCAGAGGCATTATATAAAAATACTCCCCCTTTGCTATTTTGATGTCAAAAGATAACATTCTCCAACTGACTCTTTGACCAGAAGATTAATCTTGATCACATTGGACATAACGTTAAATTTATGGTGATTACATTTATTCATTATATTCATGTCTTGTATATCTTACTAATCATTTGATAAAAAAAATTATAAATTCAACGTTATGAGTATGATGTGAAGTCGAAATATCAAAAGAATAATATTTTTTATAATGGCACGTATAAAGAACATAGGTTTGTGATCCGTATGACTTATATGACTCATTGTGATCTATATGACCCATATGACATATCACGGTCACATGGATCACATGGAGGAGAGAGAAAATCGGAGGAGAGAGAAAACAAATTTTGGGAGAGAGAAAAAAAAATCTTAGAGGAGAGAATGAAATCTGCAGGAGAGAAAAACAAAAACTGCGTTTTGGAAAACTAAATGATTTTTTTAATTAATTAAAAAATGGTAAAATGGGTATTGTATTTTTAGATAAGTATATTTGAAGTAGTCAAATTTTTTTTTAAGAGGAGGTTATGCTCTTAAGTACAAGTAGCATTTTAAGGGTATTTCTAATAATCCCCCATTTAAAATACAATATCAATATCGTTTTTGTTCCAAATTTATTTGGAGTCGCCAGACCAACCGTTTGAATATTAAACAAAATTTTTAGAAATTGAATTACTAAACTATACAAATACGTAACAAAAATTGTTTTATTTTTAGTTTTATTTCGCTTTTTCCCAATAATTATTGAAATCCGTCATTCTATATAATATGGTTCAAATTCCAAAGGTCTCAAAGTAAATGATCACTTATAACGTCTATGATTTTATAAATGATTGTAATTCCAATTAACTAATGAAAAATGAATATTAATTGTACCAATTACTTGAGAAATATATAAAATTTCGAATGGAAATATTTTAATATTGACTCGATAATCAAATAACTAAAAAAATTATTGCATTCATCATTGAAAAAATTTGGGAAATTGAAATAGCTTAAAATCGGGCCATTTTCATTAAGCATCATTAGTACATGAATTATGTTAAACCAACTATTGGACATCATCAATCTCGGACACAAGCTCAAGCCGATGAGACATCAATGCCAAGAAACGAAGATGCCGAACATGCTCAGACCGTGACTACGGTGCACAAACACACGGATGGACTTCATATTACCATATTTCAATATTTTCTTATTTTTATGATAAAATGTTGCAAAGGTTTCTAAATGCCCTAATCGATTATGATCGTGGGAACGATAATAGATAAAGATTAATATGACGTATATACATGACATATTGGATAGGTGTTCATAGGTATAGGTTTGAAACGTGTGATTGATTGACCCACGTTATGATCAATCTATGGTCTCGAATCAAAACCGATATCATAATAATATCTCAGTTTTATCCTTTGACCTGAAATAACTATTGATATATTTTTTTTTTGATACATTGGCGAACCTCCATGACTACCTACCTACAAACGGAGACGAACTGGCCACCACCCGCGTCTAACAGTCCCCATGGACCTCAGTCCGCCGGACCTAGCCAACAAGCGCGCCTAACGCTCGGGCCGTAGTTGGGCTTAGACGCCTGCGGGTCAAACCCCAAACTCATGCGCACGAGCCTACAACACACGCGTAAGAGGTAAATCAGCCCGTTATGACAGGCTGGCAGGCGAACAGGTCAGAGAAAGTGAGACGGCGAGGAATCGAACTCCCCACCTCATGAGTGTTCCCCATGCTCACTACCACCTGATCTGGAAACCTCATCTGGAAACATCCAGACCGTTCTAGACGACCATGCGACGCAATCGGGGCCACCGATCTGGGGAAGATTCTAGACGGCCTTCGACTTCGTTCTTGGATTCCGTTCGAACGCATAGACCGGAAAGACTATCTGCGTGTCACTGTTTCTTGTTGCGGGTTTTCTTTCTTTGCAGGCGCTCAATGGACCTCCTTGTAACCCTGGGTTCTAATCCAAGGGTATTTCCTTTGAAACATAAGAGAAACGGAAGCAAAACCCATCCAGCCTTGTTCTATAAAAACAGGAGGAAATTTCAGACACACAAGTGAGAAACATACAGTACACGTTTCGCAAAAACATAATCGACTTATTAAGCTCATTGCTTCTTAGACGCATCTGTAGCATTCCTCAACAGAAACTGTCTGGCTCCAAACATGGGGAGAGAACCTGCAATATGTAGTGATAAACGGGAAAAAAAAAACTTAAATCCGACGTTTCCTCGGCAATCTGCATCCGTTATGAGCACGCCTAGTCGTGTCCTCAATGTACACGATGGGATTCTGATCCGATCTAGAGCTGTTGAAACCTTCTTTGAATGCAACAATGGCTTGCCTCTTTTTCTTGAAGTGGATGAACCCATTCACCTTGACGACCACCGACTTTAGACCCATTGTCTTTGCTTTTCTTCCGATGTGTTCAGCCGTTGCCTCAGCTGCATATCTCGATAGCTTTGGTCCACCCTTTAGCTCGGGCAAACAGCCAGACGAGCCCCTGCATTTGACGTTTCCCTTTGAATCCGTCACTGTAACAAAGGTGTTGTTACGCAACATCTTTATGTGAACAACCTCTGCGTTTCTTTCGGAACTTCCGCGATAAAAGGAGGGATACACTGTCGGCCTTCTACTCTCTTCATGCGCTAGTATTCCTTTCACAGTATCCATTGATTTTGAATTCCCCCACCCGCCGCTTTCCCGAAAAAGTGCAGAACGAGTGGGAGAATTAGTAGCCGAATTGTCGCTTCCTTCTCCGGAAATCCCTCCCCAGGCCCCGGTAAATGGCGCTTGCTGCTCAAAACTCCTCCCTGTTTTAATATCAATCAAGGAAAGAGATAAATACGGACAAACATCTAAGGCCGATACGCAGAATTTGATATTTCTATACCCAGAAAGCTCATTTAGCATGAACATTTCATGAGGAAACTTTTACAACAACAAAAGATATACTCTGTTTTGGAATCAAAATCTCCACCTTTCATGATATTTTGAAGCCTGATTCTAATAGTTTCTGAATTCCGTTAAGGAAATCACAGAAGTCAAAGGCATTCGAACCTTGCCCATTACATCATTTCTAAACCAAACGCACTGGATCTGATATGAACGTATGGCAAGAGAACAATTCAACCCAAAACAAATGCTAGAATTCTCAAACAATCAAAATCGATCCTAAAATATCAAATCACACGCCTCGATGCCAGTTAACGTCAAAACAAAACTATAAAATTGTGAACCAAAATCTGAAATTCGGACTCCAAAATCGCGTTCATTGAAGATAAAGTTCCCCGAGCCACCTATTCTCATCATCATCATCATCATCATCATCATCATCTATCTAAATAATTCCATTTCTAAAATCCTCAACCAAACAAAACAAAAAAGCAACGGACATCACCGGAGAATCCATTTGATTTCGAGGAAAACCGCGAGAAGCACTCGATCCGGCCGCATACACGAATAAAAGAAGAAACAGAAGAAGCGCAGAGGTAGCGAGAAAGGGAATTCATGTCGCTCCCGTCACTGTTCGTGAAGGTTTAGGGTTTTTTTTTCCCTTTCTGAAGAACTGTTTGCTTGTACGAGATTCTCTCTTGTTCGGCTTCCTCTTCTATTGGGCCTCGCTACCACAGGCCTTCACCAAAAGAGACGATAGAGAAATTCCAAACCTAAAGCTAACCGTAGGTTTGTCAACTGGGCCGGCCCGGCCCGAGGGTTTTGGATCGGGATCAGACCGGGCTCGCTAAATTTTATTTTTTGAAATTTTTTTATTTTTATATTAATTTTGTTTTGGAAAAAATCGGACTGGTCCAAAATCTGATAACTCATATTCGAAAGTTCGAAAATTTTTAGATCTAATATGGATCCAAAATACACTATTTTTTGGATTGGACCGAACGGATTTTGAGTCTAGAAACAAAATTGATACCCTAAAACTAAGGGTCGCTATTTAAGGTTTGGATTCGAATTCGTTTCTATTATATTCAAATTCGATTATTTTGATTATAGAAAAATTCCATTTGATTCAATTTTATTTATGTTCGAATTCGATTTGTATTAATAAAAAAAATATGCATCCAGATTTCAAATCAAATCAAAGGTGGATGTAAAATGAGTCCATTGGAAGATATAATTTATCGAATTATCGATATGGGAAAATTTATAACGGCGTGGCGGTTGGACCAAGTTCCATGTTGAATGCGTGAAATTCTGACATGACCATTTTCGATAGTTGTAAAATCATTTCGCGTTTTTAAGGGGAAAAAACTATTTTTCTCATATAAAATCGAACTGCGTCTAAATTAATGGAAAACAATGCTCGAACGAAGAAAAAGAAATAATATCCATTATGATATTTATTCCCGAGTGTGTGGAACTATAAATTACATATTTATTATGGAAAATTAAGTTGTAATATAATATTTTTATAAAACCGAAAGAACCAAATTGAATATCGAAACGTTCGTTCTCACCCCACCCGCGATGGTATCATCATTAATAGCATATATTATTTTTATAACATCTTCGTATCATCCTATCTATGGATAAAATGTCCATCAGAGCATCACTGTCCTCCTGTGATGAACAACTAATCTCAACACCATGACTATCATTTTGACATATTTCAACTTCAAATAATATTTATAATTAAATATGGAATATATGTTTTGAAGAAGCATTATTGAATTCACAAACTATCATTTGGGATGATATTATTATTAAATTGATCCAAATCTTGCCCACGATTTCATTGTGAACAGTGAAAAACAACATAAAATTAAGAAAAGAGAGTTCTTCATGAAGACGAAGACTAATAAAAGCTTTTGTCAGATCTGAAAATGAAACTCATACCTGTGGCAGAGTTATGGGAGGATCAAGCTTGATTATCATCAGAGCTTGCCTGCAAACAATTTAATCGTCTTAAAAACCTGAAAACCGATATTCGGGTAAAGTATCCATATGTTAAGATATGGTACCTCGAGATATCGCTGCAAGAGCGTC